GCGCCAGCCCATCACTATCCCATCTCCATCCCGGTGCGCCATCCCAGCGCCATCCCATCCTGGTACCACACCAACACCATCCCGTCTTCATCCCATCACTATCCCAGCACCATCCCGTCTCCCTCCTGGCACCATCCCATCTCCATCCCATCACCACGATGCCACCATCCCATCTCCATGCCGGCACTATCCTGGCGGGATCTCCATCCTGGAGTGCCATCCCATGTCCGTCCCATCTATGGATTAAACACCATCCCATCTCCATCCTGGCATCATCCCATCTCAATCCCGACACCATCCCATCTCCATCCCGACACAATCCTGACACCATCCCATCTCCATCCCAACGCCATCCCGACACAATCCCTTCTCCATCCCGACGCCATCCCGACACAATCCCATCTCCATCCCAACACCACCCCGACACAATCCCGTCTCCATCCCACCCCTCCCCCACCCCGCCCCCATCCCGACACAATCCCATCTCCATCCCAACACCACCCCGACACAATCCCGTCTCCATCCCAACGCCATCCCGTGTCCATGCAGACACCATCCCATCTCTATCCCATCTCAATCCCGACCCCATCACATCTCCATCCCATCACCGTCTATCGTCCCAACACCATTCCATCTCCATCCCGGCATCATCCCATCTCAATCCCAACACCATCCAATCTCCATCCCAACGCCATCCCGACACAATCCCGTCTCCATCCCAGCGCCATCCCGTGTCCATCCAGATCCCATCACCGTCTATCGTCCCAACACCATTCCATCTCCATCCCGACACCATCCCATCTCCATCCCGACACCATCCCATCTCCATCCCAACACCATCCCTACACAATCCCATCTCCATCCTATCTCCATCCCAACACTACCCCAATACAATCCCATCTCCATCCCAACCCCATCCTGTGTCCCTGCAGACACCATCCCATCTCTATCTCATCTCAATCCCGACCCCATCCCATCACCATCCCAACACCATCCCATCTCCGTCCTCTTCAGTCGGCATCTCCTCACAGGTGGAGGCTTTCACGACGGCGCTGCGAGCCAAAACGTCGCCCTCGCACCCCAGGGACCCTCTCTGAGCGACGGCGTCCCTGCCCACTGGTACCGCACCGAGCCAGGACAGGGGCCTCGCCCCCACCTGCTCTGCCCGACCCCGAGGACAAGAGACGAGTCTGGATCCCCGACTGCCCCCCTTGGGTGTTTATTTTGGGCAAGGGTGGGAGTTTGAAGTTCGAAGGTGAATTATGGGTGACGCAGCCTCGAGGGCGGATCTTTTTTTTTCTGGGCCGGGGTGTCTCCCTGGGGGGGCTCCCACAGCCGGGGGTTCTCCCTAAAAGTGGATTTACTGGGAAATTGTCACAGCCCTTGTTTCCGTTACGCCAACCTTGTTATTTTTTTGTTATTTATTGCAATTTCCTTAAATTAAAGACAAAGCGATGTTGAGCTCTTCTGTGTCTTGAACTGCTTCTTGAGC